CGCGCCCCGTGGAACGCCCGGGCACGCGCGGGGGGGCGCACGGGGAGCGCCCGGGGAGCGCGCGGGAGGTGCGCGCCCGTGCGCCCGCGGAGCGCCCGGGGAGCGCCCCAGACGGGCCCGGGAGCGTCTCAAACGCCTTGGGTGCGAGGCGGGGAGTTATCCGTATCCACAGCCTGGGAACGAGCGTCCTGACGCTGGGGGGCGCGTGACCCGGATGGCAGGAGCGTTTGCCGGCGCGGTGCCACGCGGCCCTGCTCCTGGGCGGCTTGACCTGCGCTGGGGGCTGCCCAGCGGCGTTTGCGCGCTTGGCGGCGCAGCGAATCGCGCAGCTCCCCAAGGTGCCGGACTAGGCGCCGCGGTTCCGGGCGTCCGCGGCTGCGCGCTGCGCCCGTTCTCGCAAGTCCACAAAGCCCAAGCGGGCGGTGGATCTGGATATATTTCGGCCCCGGGGGGCCCGAATATGCCCATACCCACCGCCTGCCGAGGTTCCGAAAACTGACCCTCCAGGCGGTGGTCATGTATAATTTGGACGCCCGAAATGGGCACCGAAAAAATGGGTACAATGCCCAACAGCAAATGTTGTCCCAAACCGACAGCGGCCGCTGTTGGGCGGGCGACCTCCTGTCTCGAGTGGACAAAGGCCGCGGCGGCGTGGACAGCGAGTCCTGTTCAGAATGAACAGGAGCTGCTGTTGGGCATCGTACCCATTCTTTCAGTACCCATTTCGGGCGTGCAGATATAAATTCCCGCCTCGGACTTGGGGACGCCCCGGAGCGCCAGGAGGCGAGGTGCTTCGGGAGTCTGAGGACGCCTGGGTTGCACCCCGGGGGCGACCTGGGGCGCCCAGGAAGGTTCCGGAAGGGTTCGGGAGCTCCTGGCCACCATGGAGCGCCAGGGATCGGTCAGGACTCGCCGCAGGCCAAAACTTGCACTCCGTTGACAGGGTCCACTATGGTGGCACAACTGAATCAGCGAAGTCAACGCAGTAATCGTGTAGACTATGAACTCGTCGATGACGATGGCTTGTCTTCCAACACGGTAGCGCGTATCAGCTCGCCGCAACCCGTATCGAATACGGTTGTCGAAGCCGGATGCGATCGCAATTAGATGTCAAGGATGCGCCCTCTCTGAATCGGAGCCCAGACGGCCACTGGAAGTGGATAGTCAGAGAACTGATATAATCCTCGACGAAATGCTGCATGGCCAGGGGACGATAAGATGAGTATCTCGCAGAGCTCGTGTGGTAGCATGAGATGGAGAGGAACTCGGGCGCAGGGTTCAGATGGTTGGCTCAATTGCACGTGACGAGCTGGACTCTAATAGTTAGCATGAAACGTTGCACATCCACGTGTTCAGAACACACATAAGACAGTAGTGCGCGCTTGTCTACCTTACTACCAAGTTCGTAACTCCCTGAATCGACCTGAGAAGTAGCCCTAGCTCGGCTATCGATCGCGGAGTGCTCTACGATATCCCCAGAGCTCACTAGGTTAACGGTTTACCGCCGGCATCGAGTTCATCTACCTAACAGTCTGGGGCGGGCGAGTCTGGCTCGCGCTCCAGTGAGCGCTCAGACCAACGGTCGCTCGCGCGTGGCGTCTATCGAATGCAGCGTTCTCTCCTGACGGCAACTAGGACATTGAACGGTGGAGAGGGGTGGAATGGAGGGGCTGAAGGACGCTGGATTCAGGTGGGAGAGCGGAGCGGATGAGGGATGAGGAGGGAGGGATCAAGGGAGAACGGGGGAGGGGGTATGGGGCCAAGCTAGGTGCGCTCGCGTCATATCTGACATCCTACCCCTCCCTCCCACCCTTTACCATGGCGCAGATCCCCTCTCTACTCGCACAGTCGGATGTCGAGCAGGGCAATGATCCCGAAAGGGTACGCGATGCATTGTAGAGCACGGCATGGCATGGCGTAGAAGAGCACCGCAAAGCGTAGCATCAACCTAGCATTGCATTGCATGCCGTGGCATGGCACGGGAAATGACGCCAGCGCTGCAGCGGGAGCACGAGTCGAAACGAGCGGAAGCGCGGAAATGAGGCCAGCGCTGCAGCGGGAGCACGATTCGGAACGAGCGGAAGCACGGGAATGAGGCCAGCGCTGCAGCGGGAACACGATTCGGAACGAGCGGGGCCCGAAAATGAAGCCGGCGCCTCAGCGAGAGCAGCATTTTGGAAAAAATGCAGGCGGAAACCCAATTCCGGGGAAACCTGTGTGTAACAAAAACAATACGCGGGGGGGGGGTCGTACACTTTCAAACCGTCATCAGGGGAAGAGGGAGAGTAGTATTCATATTGGGTAATTGTAGAAAACAAGCGGGAGGCAAGCGGAGCGAGGCAGGGTAGGGGGGATGAGAGGGGAACAGGGGAAAGAAGGACACAGGGCCAATGGGGAGGGAGGTTCGGACGTTTGGAAGGGCGGGGGGAGGGAGCAGGGCTGGGGGAGGGAAACCGATCTTCGAGTCATCATTATTCCTCATGCCTCCTGCTCATATGCCTGCCCTTGTCCACAGTGTTCAATACACCAATTTGACTGCCTGGCCAGCAGATCACAACTGGACCCGAGAAGTCCAATCCTACTACCCATCATAACCAACACTAAGTCGACGTTCTGCTGTCCATCATTGATGTTTCAGCGTCAACGCTGTAAAATGTGTGTGGCAGGCGTGGGACGGGGCGCATTGCACGTGACATTGCAAAAGGTAGTTGTCGCCTCAGCACCTCGCCGCGCCGCGCACATATATTTTTCACTCGAAATCCGCCGAGCGGGCCAACACTTCGCTCTCGCCTTGGCGCAAAACACCTTTCCCCTGAAAGTTGGACTATTCACGGCCTCGGCGCGGCACGTACATTTACGCGCCATGTCGTTGAGGGCGGAGCCGTGCGCGACCGGGCGACTTGTTACATTCGCCTAAACTCTGTGCAAGTTTCGTCTGGAAGGTGGCGTTGCCGCAGAACCCATGCAAGCGGCAGCGGCAACGGTGTGTGTGTGTGTGTGCGTGTGCGTGTGCGTGTGCGTGTGCGTGTGCGCGTGCGTGTGCGTGTGCGTGTGCGTGTGCGTGCGTGTGCGTGTGAGTGTGCGTGTGGGTGTGGGTGTGGGTGTGGGTGTGGTTGTGTGGGTGCGTGCGTGCGTGCGTGCGTGCGTGCGTGCGTGCGCGCGCACGCGAGCGTGTGTGTCTGTGTGTGCGTGCGTGCGTGCGTGCGTGTGTGCGTGTGTGTGTGTGTGCGAGTAGTGCGTTTGTGTGAGCATGACAACGCTGCTTTAGCGCAGCGCGTGCTTCGTTTTCGCCGCGCTCATGTGCCATGTGCTCGCCCGAACGAAGACTGAATGATCAATTCGCCGTAACACCGCGCAAGATGTTTATAATGTTCCGCTCTGCATGTGGTACCCGCCTCCATTTCGGCGCACCCCGCACACGTGCCGTGGCTTTTGGCCCGGTCCTTCGCCAGGATGTGTTTTGACGTTTTCACTCAAGATGTGCTCGGTTTTTCACAGCGGTTTTCTTGCTGCGGCGATGGCTCCAACTCAGGATCGACACGTTGCGCCCGTCGTTCGGGGCTGGCGCTCTCGCCCCAGCGTGGACCACAATTCTGGATCCGCATCACTCCTCGTCGTTGCCGCCGCGCTTCTTTCCCCAGCGTTTCCCTCCTGCTCTGCCGGCTCCTCGGACTCTTGCTCCTGAGGCTGCTCCCGCGTCCCCGCGCATCCTCTTGCTCATCCGCCACATGCTCCCAGCACGATCTCTCGAAGGTTGCAAGTCCGCCATGACACCCGTCGGTGGATAGAGAAACAATGACACATTGGGAAGGGATTGGTGGGAGAGGTAGAATGTCAGATACGGCGCGAGCACACCTGGCTGGATATGAATGCTACTCTCCTCTCTCCCGAGATCCTGCCAGAGCGTGGCAGATGTCCTCCCGCCTCTTGTAACACGTGCAGGATTTCGAAGGGCGGTTTTCCATGTGGCTGTTCCAATCGGAACGTTGCGGTGTTCAATTTTCGTGTGCCCGCTGCAACGCTGGCCTCTTTTTTGGATTGACACTTTGCCTCCGTCGTTCATAATGGCGTTCTCGCCCCACCGCGGGCCACGATTCTGGCTGCGAGTCCTTCCTCGCCGGTGTCGCTACGCTCATTGCCCCTCCTCCGCCTTCTCATGGCGTTGTTGTTCCTCCCTTCCTCGTATGCCTGCTCCTGCTGCTGCTCCTCCACGTCCTTCTTTCTCCTCCTCTTTCTGTTCCTGATCATCCTCTTGCTCATCTGCCAACCCGTCCTCCAACGTGCACACCTCCCTTGTGTAAATGGCGCATGGAATCGGCTATGACGTCCGCTCTGAAATCCTTACCACAACCGCTATGGCACGTCTGCTGCGACACGTGCGCACGATGGGGTCCTATTGGAGGGTCCACGTCCGATATGATACCCGTCGGCGGATTGAGAAACATCAGACAATGGGAAAGGGTGGATCCCCCCCATCCTCATCCCCATCCGCCTCCGTGCACCTCCACGTCGGACCCCCCCCCCATCTTACTCGGCCTCCCCCCTCGCCCCTCTCCTCCGACATCCTCCCCCCCCCTCCTCATCATCTTTACCAATCCTCCCATCCTCCGTCTCCCGATCCTCTCCTGGTGCTCCTGATCCTCCTCCTGCGCACCACGGACGGCGCGGGAGCAGGAGGGAGCCACGGCACGGCAACATTCCTGCGCGAGGTGGGATCCGAGGCCAGCCTGCCCACCCCTGCCTCCTCCCCCCCTCCTCCCCCCATCTCCACCCAAAGGCCCCTGCTCCCTCTCCTTCTCGCCTCCCTCTCCCGCCCGCCCAGGCGCCGCTCCCACCCCCCGACCCCCCCCCCCCCCTCCTCCCGCCCTCCCCCCCCCTGCCCGCCCGCTCCCGCCGCGGCCCTTTCTCCTCGCCGGGGCCGGCGACGGCGCGGGCGCCGCCCCCTCGGCGCTGCCGCCCCCGCCCGGCGGCAGCGCGGCCGCTGCGGGGCGGTGCGCCCGCCGCGCGCGAGGGCGCCGGCGGAGCGCCCGCCTCGCCGGAGAGAGGAGGCCCTCAGAGGCTCAAGCCGGCCCGCTCGCAGAGGCTCGGCGCCCCGCCCGCCCGCCGCGCCGTCCCCGCGGGGTGGCCTGCGCGGGGCCCGGGCCCTGCCACGCCGCGCGCTGTCTTGCAGGCCGCTCCCTCCTGCCCCCTGCCAGCGGGGGTAGGGGGACGAGGGAAGACAGACACATGACAGCTCGGAGGTCCCAATCTACTCGAGCCCCAGCGAGGAGGCCTCTGATGTCCCTCCCTCCCTCTTTCGGGGACCGTGCCCCATCTAGGAGGCCTCTAAAGTCCCTCCCTCCCTCTTTAGGGGAACGAAGAATGACATGAACATAAAACCCCCGAGGTTCGCGCGTACTTCTCGGATCCGCGCTGGGGCACCCTGGCGGCGCCTGCGGCGCCGCCCCTGGCGCGCTCCGCGCGCCAGGGGGGGGGTCCAGCGCCAATCCGAGCAATCCGCGCAGAGGTCCGAGTTTTGATGTTTATGTCAGTCTTCGTTCCCTCAAGGATGAGCGGTGGGAGGAGGGAGGGGATGAGGAGAGGGAAGCCACCACCCGAGCGAAACACTCCCCATCTCCTCCTGCCTGGGGGAGGGGACAGCACACGTGCGCACATGCCGCCGAACGGGTCAGCACAGCTGATCGGGGCCAAGACTCCCTTCAGGAGAAAGCAGGCGTACAAAGCATCAGACCATGGGATAGGTACCCAATCGTCAGCTAGAGCCCAGTGCTGCGAAACCACTGGCGAGCCATTTCGGCACCGATCGATCAAGCCCACAAGAGAACAGCACGCAGCACGTCCACACAGACACTAGCGGCGCTCTCGTCGTAACAGTGGGAACAAGTCCGCCGACCCCTTGTGGGTCTCTAGGCGTGTGAGATGATTCCCCCACATTCCCCCCGAAGGACCCCAAACCGGGAATTTGACCCCCCCCCCACCCCTGGCCGCGGACGACCTCCCAGCAACCCGTCACGGAAAAGAAGAGGGCCCCGCCACGGGCAAAGAAGGCCCAAGAGGCCCCCAAGACGGTCCAAGAGGGCCCCGAGTAGCCGAACAATCTTTCAAGACGCCCAAGATGACATCCCAACGGCCCAAGATGCCTCCAAGAGGCCCCCTAAGAAGCCCCGATGACACAAACATTGCCTCCACTCCCATGGGAAAACGAATGTTTTAACATATTCGCTTTTGGCCTTTCGCAACGTGCAAGACGGCCCAGGAAGTCCCAAAAATAGCTCTAAAACGGCCCACAAAGGCCCCGAGACGGCCAAACAAAAAAAAACAATACGGCCCATGAGGTTCCCAGGAACGGCGCCAAGAAAAGGGCCCAGAGGGGGAGCCAGAACAGGCAATTCTAGCTTTCGGCTGACCAAAAGAGCCGCTCATCCTCCTTCTCCTTCTCCCCGCTGTTCCTCCTCACCCGCACGACTCTCCCCTCGTATTCCTCTCCTGCGCCTCAGCATCCCTTCCTCCACCACCTTTCTCTGAGTATAGGCACGGTGCGTCAAGCACAAAGCCAGAACGAAGGATGACATAGGTGGAAACAGTGACACTGCCCGCTGTTATAAAAAAGGCGCGTGCCTACTGGATCACCGAATTCCAACACGAATGCTGTACGTACGTATTCGACCGCCCATTCCAGCGCAAGCACTTCAACCCGAATCGATGATTCCATTCTTCCGAAGCCAAAAGCGGGCAGGACTATGATTTGATTCCATTATTCCGAAGCTTCTGCGGGTACGATGCGCAACAACACTGCCCATGCCACCCCTGGCATTCGATCATCCCGCCCTCCACGCAAAGCGGAGCCGCTCCCAATCAGCACTCACACCTAATGCTGCATCGGCCTCGAGGTCTACGGCAAGACGGAACTTCTCCGCCCACTCCACAGAAGGCGCTGTGTTCGACTGGGGCCGGATCCACACGTGTAGAAGCTGTGGCGGTTATTTCGGGAGCTGCAGAAGCAGCGGACGCATGCTCGGAGTTGGGAGTCAGCCCGCCCACACCACAGATGATCTAACACCATAGCCGTCGCGCACCGGCACTCGAATATAGTTGTTCTCGTTTGCTTCACACGTGCGCATGTTTAAAGATCCCTGGATGGCTCGTTGGGCGACGGTAACCCCCAAGCCACGCAGACCTTTGCAAGAAGAATAGGGCATGTCTCCCATCCTGTTTCGGAGTGGAATGCATTCAGGCGGAGTCTTCAGTCAATGCCCCAGGCCGTCACGAATGGACTCTCCCATGAAGAAACTTGATATCCAATTCCGCCGTACGAGCCACAACATCCGACGCTTCCTCGCAGAGTCGAGTGATTTCTCTGTCTTCAACCATTGGGAACCAAGAGCAACAAGCATACAATGAAGAACAACGTCCACGTCGCCCACGCGGAATCTGAATCCCCGTCACGCGGCCTAGAATGTAACCTTGACGAGACGCTCGGAAAATTAATACATTCGGAGGTGAGAGAACCATGACTCGATTTTCCGACCCGTGCGCGCAGTGCACTGCCACCCCAGGTGCACGTCTCAAACACTCCCTCCCTCCCTCTTCTATCTACTCCATGCTGCCACGGGAAGGCTAAGCTGAGCATTCAAGGCCTATGCCCCAACTGGCCCAAAAGGCCACTCCTCCGACCAATCCTCCTCATGTTTCCCCCTCACCCGCGTCACTCTCCCCTGCTGTTCCTCCCCTCCGTCTCGTCATTCCCTTCTCCCTCCCTACCTCCATCCCCTCCATCCCCCCCTCCGCCATCCTCATCTCGCGACCCCTCCTCGGGGCCAGCCCCCTAGAGTCTCTCGGTCAGCCGGGCCTGCGCTTGCAACGCCTCGACCGCCGCCAAGCGGGCCAAAAGCTCATAAAAGCGCGACCGTGTCTCCATCTCGCCTCGCAGGAGGGGGGGAGGAGGGCAGGGGAGCAAGCCAGCAAGGGGCCCGCAAGGGTACGATCGAACTCGAGAGCGTCTGACTGATGGGAAGACGGCAGAAGGGCAAGTAGAGATAACGACCCCTTCGCATGGTCCGCTGGGCTCGCACACAAGGTCGTTTCGGCTGCGAGAGGACAACAACAGAACAGAAGGCGGCCGCGCACTCCACAGCTGCACGGAAACAATATAAATCAGACGGGCTTGTCAAGTTTGGGGTGTATGCCACGCGAACGCTTGTCAAAAGAGCACGCGGCGGGCTCAAGAAATCGGAAGTATCCGCGGGGCGGATGTGGAACATCGACCTCGTCAAGCCCGAAACGAAAACCGAACTGCAGAGGATCCTCCGCGTCGGCCTCGGTGATGGTCGCTTGCAGGCGGGCCACCTCCTGGCCAGAGGGGCGCCACGGGTACGGTCTGCGGGCTGAGCGAGAGCAGGGTGCGGAGCCGCGCGTCCAGCCCAGCGGCGGTGCACCCAGCCCGGCGGTGCGCCAGGAGGCCCGAGGCTGACCGCAAGTCGTCCGCCGCCGTGCCGGTACGATGCGCAACGCCAGTGGCAGAACACCCGCCGGTTGCCCAGAAGAGGGCCCTGGCCTCGTCTGGGCTGACACCCCCAGGAGGCTACCGCCTGAAGAGCCGCCGTCCTGGGACCGCAAGGGGGCGGCGGAGGTGGACATCTTGAGGGCCCCTGGGGCCCGGACATGTCCACGGCCGCCATCTCCCACGGTGCACGAAGATCGGTCTCCCAGGCGGTGGATATGGATGAGCCCAGCCTCGGGCACGAGCAGGGGGGCGAAGAGTGGCACAAGCGTGAGAACTCGGAGGTCCGCGCGGATTTCTCGGATTGGCGGTGGACCCCCCTCCCTGGCGCGCGGAGCGCGCCAGGGGCGGCGCCGGAGGCGCCGCCAAGGGGGCCCCTGCGCGGATCCGAGAAATACGCGCGAACCTCGGGGGTGTTATGTTAATGTTTTTCTTCGTTCCCCTCAAGAGGGAGGGAGGGACTGTAGAGGCCTCCTGGATGAGGGAGGGACTTTAGAGGCCTCCTAGATGGGGTTCCAGTAGATGGGGTCGAAGGATCGCGTCGCATCGCCAATGCATCCCGATGCATCGGCGATGCATCGGCGATGCATCGGCGATGCATTGGCGACTTCGGCCATGCATCGGCGACGTCAGCGTGTGGACACACGGTCTCCCCATCGAGCCGCCTCGTCGACGCACCGGCGATGTGGCCCCCGACCCACCGACCACGTCTGCTCCGACCCCATCCCGGAGGCCTATAGAAACTTTTGGGGGGGGGGCGGGAGAGAGAAGCGGTGGCCCTCGCCGGCGGCAGGTCCGCGCCAGAGGCCCGGGCACCGCGCCTCCGGCAGCAGCGCCGCCAGCTCGGCGAGCCACTCTGCGCCGCCCGCGGTCTCCCGGGGGATGCCCGGGGAGGAGGAGGAGCGAGGAGGAGCGAGGAGGAGGAGCGAGGAGGAGCGAGGAGGATGAGCGAGGAGGAGGAGCGAGGAGGAACAAAAAGGAGCGAGGAGGAAAAGGAGGAGCGAGGAGGAGTGAGGAGGAGCGAGGAGGAGCGAGGAGCGAGGAGGAGGAGGAGGGAATGAATTGACCAACAACAGACCTTCGGGCCCATGCCCAGTGCGATGCCAAGGAGAGGAGCGAGGTTTGGGAGGGAAGAGAAGGCGGGGGGCGGGGTGGAGGGGGAGGTGGAGGGAGAATAGTGGAATTGGGGAAGGAAAGGGAGCGAGAAGGCCTCGGACGGAGAACGGGAGGGAAAAGCAAAGGGGAAAATTGAGCGGAAGAAAAACGCCCTATCCGGCACTCTACCCCGCCGTCTCCTCCTCTAGCCTGTCATGCCCAGGAACCCGCGACGGAACCACTGCGATCCACGTGGCTGGAAAATTCGATCTGTACCGCCAAAGGCCTGGTCGAGGATACTCGTTCGCCCTCTCCACAATCCTACTCCTGATCCTTCTCGTTATTCTAGTCTTCCTTTTCCTCCTCCTGACTATCATCATTCGTCCCACTCCCCGTCCCTCTACCCCTTCCCCTCCTCCTCTTGGTATCCCCCATGTAAGAAGTATGCCGTTGTTGTGCGGAACGGTGCCGAGGCCCGGCAAAATAACATACGCCTGGATCCAGCTTTCCCGCTGGCTGACTGCCAGCCGGGGTATAGCTGTGCAGGGCTCGAGCGGGACAGGGTGTTGGCCATAGCTGTGGGGAACGGCACCCCACCACAAAACACAAACCGTCCACTACGAACCTCAGGGGTGTCAAGCACCCCGCCAACGATAACCTTGGAGGGCGTTCCCCCCAGGCGGTCCGAAAAAGGGCGGCATCTGCAGTCATCAGTGACCTGCACTGGTTCGTTTTGGATGTGAAACCTGCGATGTTGTCGGTGCTGACTTATTCAGGTCACCTCTACGGGTGCCCGAAAGGCAATCATTCTGTTAGGAAACTGTGCCGATTGTCATGGGCGGGGCAATGCGGCTTGTTGGTCACACTCTGCACATATGTCCAAACAAACGCCACATGCGGCAGGTTGCTGCTCCTATGCGGTAGAAGGAAACGAGAAATGGCCGCATGTTGTTGTGACCGCTGGGCTCGATTATCACAGGCTGCACGTCGCGTGCGTAAGCTGGGATCCTGAAAGTTTCGACCAGGCCCAAGCTGGAGACGAGACAAAGATGAGGGCAGTCCATGTGCGCAACACTATGCACATGCCTTCGCATACCCAAACATCAAGTTCGTGGCTGCATGAAGCTCGCCAACGTGAGCGCGTGTTGATACGTCTGGTACGCATCAACAAAGTACGGCCCGAACTCTGCAGCTTCACAATAAGCCCCCGGGCCAACGGAATGGTGCTGTTTGCGCCACATCGCTGCGGGGAAAGAGAGGCAATGACCGGCATCGGCAAAATGCGCACTCATGCGGTACTCCGTACTGGCAGTGCGAAGTAGCTGGTTGCAAGACGCTAGCCATCTTGATCGAAACTACATGAACAGACCACTGCCGCAACCTGAGCCCATCGGAGCCTCAGCCTCAAACGTGTTGGAGAGGTCGCACAAATCATACCGCGCTGGCCCCGTCATGCGTGCGAAACAGGTGAGGTAGCAAATCGTGGTCTCGCTACCCGCGCGCGCAGGATCTACGCAGACGGACGCAATCGTGGGCCCTGGCAAGTTCAAACCATCCAGGTTCAGCAAGGACTTCGGGTACAATGACGGCGTCACCCATCAAAGGCGACGGAACATCTAATGCCGCGGTAAACTAACAAATCACCCGATGGGCGCGACGAGGCAACGCGCCCCGACCCCCGCGGAAGATCCATACAACTTCACTTCAAGAAACACCATGCATGTATCAGAGCCAATCTGAAGCAGCTCGGATGGGTCAAGAACATCTGGAAAGCAAAGCCCTTCCAGGCTAGGGCAGGACCGTCGCCGTGCGTGCCTCCGCCAGGAGAATCGACGGCTGGCTGGAAATGCTGGGACCGTAGAGACAAAAAAAACTCTGGATACCTCCTTGGCACGTGGAACATCAGAGCGCCGAGCGCGATGCTCAGCAATCAGAAACGCATCGGCCGCAGACATCTGCCAGCTGCGAGCCCCGTAGCCATAGCAGACCACGACGTGATATCCAGCCGCAGCCTCTGGGAGAGCTGCAAGCTGGTGGACTGCAGTCTGACGGAATGTGGCAACGTAGCTGGGTTGTTGCTGGACCACCGCACGGCGGGCTCGCTTGCTGGCGCGGGCATCGGCGGCGCGCTGGACCAGCTCGCTGTACTCTTTGTTGTGGACAGGATCGAGCCCCGTCTCGGCAGCTCGCTTGCGCAGGTCACGTAGCTCAAACAAATCAGTAGCATCACCAACCTACATAGCTGATCGTCTCACTGGCGTCACCCACGGGAATGCCACTCCCGTCGCACATGTCTTTAGGACTCGCCAGCATGCGCTTCCCCTGCTCCATGTTAACGGCGCCGTTGTCCTCGAAGGAGGCGAGGTCGGTCTCCACGAGTTTGTGCAACTGCTGCTCCACCGACGCAAAGTTCACCATGTCGTGGGGGCTGGGGCCAGGGAGCCGGGGCCCTGCTGCAGTGCTGAGGGCGCCAGCGGCGATTGGCGCTCCCGCAGCTGCGCTAGCGGCGCTGCCCGCGCCTCCACCTGCGCCAGGCGCAGCTGGGGGCGCCTGCGCCGCGGGCGGGGCGCGCGCACGCCCAGCAGCACCCGCAGCACCCGCAGCAAGATCAGCACGAGCTCCTTCAGGTTGTACTTCTCGAGCTGTGGCGGCGGCGTCCTCCGCCTCCCCTGCCCGACGTTCCTCGTCCGGTCGCACTCCAGCACGGAACTGGCTGGGGTTGAACAGGTTCGTGTGAGCGACCCCCGTTCGCAGCTCGGCAACACATTCCCCCGGGTTCTTGGCCGCCTCGGCCTGTGCGAACTTAGCCTTGGCGAGGGCCCCGCGGTGCTTGACGACTGACACGAGCTTTTGCTCGACGGCCGCCATCGCCACCTGCTTGGCCTTAGAGGCCGCCTCGACCTCCTTAGACCCAGAATGGCTACGGAGATGCAAGAACAGGAGCAGCAGGAGAGAGGAGAGGAGGGAAAGCAGCAGGGGAACGAGCAGACGCAGGAGGACGAAGGAGAACTGGGGAGGACGGAGAAGGAAGGGAGGGGGGAGGGGACGCGGAGGGAGGACGGAGGGGGGGAGGGGAGGGAGGAGAGGAAATGAGGATGGAACGAGCTGAGGGGTGAGGTGGACCGACCGGTTTTGACATGACAAGACGCTCCCCTGAGGAATGTGCACTGAATGGCCGGCCTCTGGCGCCGCCAGCACGAAGGAGCTCACTCCGAAGGCGTCAGCGAGGTCTAGCAGGTCTGCGGCGAGCCTCGTGAGGGCGGGGAGGTAGTGGAGGGACGGAGGGGAGGAGAGATGGGAGCGAGGAAAGAAAATAGGAGGTGCGAAGTGGGGAGTACGGAAGAGGGAGTGAGGATCGACAGAATGGGGAGCGAGGAGCAGGGAGCACACAGCAAAGAGCATGGATCGAGGACCAAGGAGGAGCGGTGGAAGATGGATGCGGGAGGAGGTGCAGGAGGAGGAGAAGACAGACTGGGAGCGGCAAGAACAAGCACGGGAGGCCCAGGAGAAGTAGGAGCCCGGGAGGGGGAAGAGGAGCACGAAAAGCAGGAGCCGAACAAGCCTGCTTCGGGCGAGACATTGCGGATCTTGCCTCGTCCATGTGACGAAGGAAGAGGGAGAACGAGGCCATACCCTATCATGCATGACCAGATCTACCGTGACGCAAAAACGTGGGACCCTATAAGGTGGGACTCTCTCGCGTGGGGCCCTCTCGTGTGGGACCACATTGTGTGCAGGTGTTTTCCTCATGGGGCGCTCACTTGCAAAACCTTCCTCGTCCAGCGTTCCCATCACTGTCCGTAGTCCTCTCTTCGGGCCTCCTCCCGCCAGATCCCCTCCAGAGAGGCATCAGAAAACGCTGCTCCCCTCGACAATGTGGTCACTGCCGAAGAGGAGGAGCAGGAGGAGGAGGAGGAGGAGGAGGAGGAGGAGGAGGAGGAGGAGAAGGAGTAAGAGGAGGAGAAGGAGGACGAACGAGGTGGGGGAGGAGGAGGAGGAGGAGGAGGAGGAGGAGGAGGAGGAGGAGGAGGGGGAGGACGAAGAGGAGGAGCGAGGAACAAAGAGGAGAAGGAGGAGGAGGACCAGTGTAAACCCAAGGGTCACCAACGCCGTTGGAATAAAACCTCCCTCCAAACTCCCTCTTCATAGGCCCCTACACAGGTTCATTTCCATTGGAGGAACTGCCTCTTTGGATGACAACCGTTTGAAGACCCTAGCACATGCCAAAGCATTGTTCTCTGGAATACAACGCCACGGATCACCCTGACTGTTGCGTCTTGACAATCCTGAATCGCGCCCGAACATCATTCCTGGGACGTCAACGCAACGGATCAACAGAACTGCTGCACCCGCATATTCGTGAATCCCGTCAAAACACAATGTCTTGCCACATTGATGATGGGAATCCGTGAAACCCTCGAAAATGTTTACAACGAATGCGCGCCGTGCTAAAACGAGAGCCACGCTTTGAAACGGAACCGCCCTCAATCCGTGAAGTTCTCGCTCATTTTTGAAAACCGAAAAAATGCGCGCTGCGCTAAGGCGAGAACCACATGTTGAAAACCACCCGCCCCGAATCCGTGAAAGTATTTCATATTGTTACAAAGAGTGCGCACCGCGCGAAGCCGAGAGCCACATTTTGAAAACGGCCCGCCCTCCATCTGCGAAGCTGCAGTCAATTGATTACGCTTCGGAATCATGCAAGGTGAGGGAGTCTCAGGCAAAACGCACGGGCCGCCCTCAATTATGTAAAGAAGATTGAGTATAGTGAAAGCCTCCTGGATAGGATCGGAGAAGATGGGGTCGGAAGATAGCCCCACATATGCGATACATCGGCGACGCATCGGGGATGCATCGGCGATGCGTCGGTGATACATCGGCGATGCACCAGCGATGCATCGGCGACGTCCGCCTGAAGCAAATCGGGCACCACATCGACCCGCATCGTCGATACATCGGCGATGCGGCGCGATCATCCGACCGCATCTACTCCGACCCCGTCTGGGGGGCCTAGATGGAGCAAGTGGAAGAGGAGGAGAAGGAGGAAGGGAGGGAGGATGAGGAGGAGGAGGAAAGGAGGAGGAGGAGGAGGAGGAGGAGGAGGAGGAGGAGGAGGTTTGAAGAGCTGCGCCCGCCGCGGAGCCTGGAGTCGGCGGGCGGCCACCGCCGCAGACCAGCGGGCCACGGCGCCGCCCAAGCAACCGAGATGACCCGCGGGGCCCCGCGGTGGAGCCGACGCGGCCCCCAGGGGGGGCGCCGTGCGACGGTTCCGCGGGGTACGTCTTGAGAACGCCGATTGGCGCACTCGGGGAGGAAGAAAGGAGGCGGAGGAGGAGTGGGCGGAGGAGGAGGAGGAGGGGGCGTAGGAGAAGGGGGAGGAGGAGGAGGACGAGGATGAGGAGGAGGAAAAGGAGGAGGAAGAGGAGGAGGGAAAAGGAGGAGGAGGGAGGAGGAGGGTCATGGGTGACATAGATCCAAGAAGTGAACGGCGAGCGAGGCTCAACCGTCACCCTCGGCCCCCCAGAAAGGAGGAGGGGCCCGCAGGAGCCAGCACCGACGGTCAGGGGAAAGGCAGATACATCGTCGCTCAGCGACTCGCTGCCCAAACGAAACGGCGTGGTGCGTAGGGGGACAGCCGGTTCACCGCGTCACCGCGCAGTACTTCCCGACCGTCACCCCTGCCGAATCGGATGGCATGTGCAACAAGGTTTGTACCCCAGGGTGGGCGGACACAAGGCCCCAAGGGACTTACGGACCACATGGCCCCGCCTCTCAACCAAATGCACACTCCCCGTGCCTGGTAACCATCTCCAGATCACGGGCCGAGCTAACGCGCCGCTGCCACGGGCAAAGTGCCACGTGGCTGGTGCAAGAACGACGAAAGCCGGTCGATCTGCCCCCAGCCGCCGCATGCAATTGACACTGACAGTGTGCCCCGGGGAGAGTGTGGCGCTGACACCATGAGAACAGGTGCCAGGCCCCCACCCTCGGGGAGGACGAGGGAGGAGGAGGAGGAGGAGGGAGAAGGAAAAAGAGGAGGAGAACGAGGAGGAGGAGGAGGACGAGGGAGCAGAGAAAAACGAACCGTTCAACTTCCTGGACCTACGGGCGCGACCTGTCCATTTGCTCCGGCCTGGCCCATGCTGCAAACAGTACGCAACGGTGTGGTAGACCTGGCGGTCTGGCCAGAAAATCGTGCACACAAATCGTCGGTCCAGGACTGGCCTGCCAGCAAAGCACGTATACGTGAAAAGCTGGCGCCCCCACGCCGAAGATATAATGCGGGGTCAGAGCTCAACTTCGGGCAAGTGCTCGAATGGGGTAGGGGACAACCTCTGGTGATACCCGATCGTCATTAGCGCTTTCGGTCTTCACCACACGGAAGCTGAAGGATTTAGCAAGGGTCCTCATCCAACCCGCCCAAGACAAGTCACACATTCGTGCGAATACCGTACGAATCGGGCGCTTGCCACGCGAACCCGAACCTCGCGGATCATCGGGCAAAACCAACCTGGGCTGGTACACGTGGCCTACGCTACAAATCCGCCGACCCAATCAGCGTGCGTTAAAAACTTTTGCGTCTGAGTCGTGGTCGTGGTCATGGTCGTGGTCGTGGTCGTCCTTGTCGTCGCCGCCGCCGCCGCTCTGCCGTCGTCGTCGTCGTCGTCGTCGTCGTCGTCGTCGTCGTGATCGTCTCCGCTCCGCCCTTGCTCGACCCCGTCCTCCTCCACGGAGCTCCCCAAATAGTCCTCCAGGAGGCAAAAATCATTCAGCTCGTTTCGCCTTGTCTCTGGCTTGTCTCTGAGTCTCTAGTGGCTCATGGCCTCGCCTCAACTGGCAACCTTAGCAAATGCTGGCAGAGGCTGCTCCATCGACAGAGCCAACCCCTCGCAGACGGCGCCGGCTTCCCCCGCTGCCTCCACGAGGCTGCGGCACGCACGGGGCTCTGGCCACCGCCGCCTAAAAACGAACAGGACCATCGCCCAGAAGAACCGCTGGGTGCCGCCAGAAAAACCAGGAGAGCCAGAGGGCCCCCAAATTCGCCTCCAAAGGCCACACTCATTGAGTTTCCTTTGGTTTGGCGTTCTCCCCTTTTTCGACTCTCAGGCCCCAAAACTGCCCGAGCTTCCAGAATGGCTCCACGACAGCCCCAAAGGACCGCCGGGTGCCTTGGGGGGGACCGCCGCAGGGCAAAAGGCCGACGGGAGCCGCCCTCTGGCCGCAAGGACGCGCCGGAGGCCGCCAGAGGGAACGCCCGTGCCGAACCCGCGTCGACCCTATGCCAAATCAGCGTCGCGTCCGCATCGGGCCCGCGCGGGCGCAAAAAAATACACCCATTTTCGGGACAGGCAACGTCCCCAAAAGAGACAACGTAACCTCTCCCCTGTCCCCCCCTTTGCCCTCTTCCCACCCCTCCGGCCCTGCCTCCTTCCCTCCCTTTTTTTTTCCACGGGGGCCACCCAATTCCCTCCGAGGGCCCTGCAAAGCTCGGCGGACTGGCCAAAGCCCCCACAACGACTGCGTCGGTCTCGCCGAAGCGGGCCTTCAGCGCCGCAGCCTTGCCGAGGGGGGCAAGCAACAGGCAAAAAGATCTGAGCTGCAAGCCCGTGGAGATCAGGTCACGACTGGGCACGATTCAACTTTCAAGCCCGCGGGAATCTACCACAGCTGTTTGCGGGCAGCCCCCTTTGCCAGCCTGGGGAGGACCTCTTTCCCTGCCTTCGAGGGCGGACTGTCAAACTTGCAGGGGGCGGCGACGGAGGAGGAGGAGGAGGAGGAGGAGGAGGAGGAGGAGGAGGGATTGGCAAGGAAGGGGCCGGGAGGGATAGAGGTACGTAGGAGGGAGGGGACGGCGACCCTGGGCGGCGGGCAACGCGGGCGGCGCAGGCGAGTTCCGGGGGCCCCACGCGACACCGCCAGGGTCCGCCGATCCACGCAGCAGGGCAGCACCGTTGAACGTTCATCTTCCCAAAATGATCCCAAGAGCCGCAGAAGAGGTCCCAAGAGGCCCCGAGACGCACCCACGCGGGCCGCAGAAGCCCAAACGAGCCCCCCAATGCGCCCCTCGAGATCCCCAGAGTGTCTCCAACGCACGACCAAGGCGCAGAAAGGAAATTCCAAAAGACCATTACAGTCGACCCGGATCAGAAGGATGCGCGATAAGGATGCAAGGGCCCTGGACGGCCATCTCGAACCTTCCCGAGCGGGGCGCGGCAAACGGAAGCGGGCCAAGGGTGGGCCGAGGAGGCAAGGAGGCAAGGGCACCCTCGGGAGAAGGGTGCCCGTCCTCACCGCGCGGGTTGCCCGTGCGCGCTCGACCAGGGACCCTGGGGGTGCCACAACCCCAGG